ACCAGGTGAACCAGTAAAATACGCAAGAAATACACTCCAACCACCCCCCCCCCCCCCCACCAAAGTGCAACTTCAACATGGGCAGTGGCCCTACAAAACATGGGGGAAGTATTTCAGGCTGCTCACTACAGCTTCTGAGGACCAATTTCCATTATTAGCTCAGCCAGAGCAGAACTAGGGACAACATCAGCAGCCAAAGAGAATTAAACTAGAGGAAAAGCAACTCTTGCCGTTTTCCTTCTAGCTGAGGGGTCTACAGGCAGCCAGGTGTTGCAAAAAAGTGGGTGGTGCTGGAGGACTGCATTAAATAGAAGCTGCCAAGCGAAGGAACAAGGCCACAACATTGGCAGAGGGGCTGCACATCTTCCCCAACCGTCTCCCCGCTGGGGCTGCCCAGCTGTCATGTTCTGTGCAGGTCCCCACTGCTCACTGCTGGAAGGGGATCAGCAGCACTCAGCTCCCAGGTAGCCACAGCCACAGCAGCTGCCCTGGCTGCAGATCCCTCCTCCAGCATCACCTTAACTCTGCCCAGCCAAGCAGATGCAGGAACACGTGGGAGCAGGCAGGGCTGGCCCCAGAAGCAGGCAGGCAGGAGACCAAGGAGAAGATGGCTACAAGCCACCTCCCGTGGGACAGGAGTCACTGGGCCAGCACCATCCAGGTGCCTCAAATGCCCAAAGCCAACTTGACACAGAAGAAGAAGCCTTGTCCAGCACCGGAGAAGTCCCTCAACACCACTCACCCCTGCAAGGACCACACCTCCCTGTCCTTCTGCCACCCCCAGAGTCCTTCAGGGGCATCAGCAGCTGCACAGCCAGCTGGGCTGGCCAGCCTGGCACAGAGGCAAGCCAGAGACCAGCCCACAGCCACCATGCTGTCAGATAGCCCTGGGCTGATGAAATCCTCTCATTTCACCACTGAATCCACCAGACCAAGCCTGCCTCAGGTAGAGACGATTGCACAGAGGGCACAGGAAGAGAGGAGAGAGAAATGGAGTGGCAGCCACTGGCCTTGCTTAGATAGAGGTTGGTCTTTGTCCACTCAGACTGATAAACTCCTGGGGATTTATCAGGGCTTCTCTATCATGTTTTGCGCCAAAATGTACCTTGCCATCCTCCCTGAAAGAGGATGCACAGCTTTCCACTGCTGTGGGAATCCAGAGCTTCCCTCTGGCTGCCCTGGAAGGTCTGGGACTCTGGCAGGGGTCAGGAACCCCCCTGGACAGAGCCCCCAGAGACACTGTCTGTGATCTCTGTCCATGGAAAAGAGTTTTCAATCTTACAGGATTAATTACAAGCTCTGAGTGTTTAATATGAGTAGTAATTAAGTGTGGCACGGGTGCAAAAGTAAAATTTTAGGTTTCTAGATTAGGGGTCCAAAGGGGACAAGATGGAGGAAATTGGGTGTGTCTTGTCCTTTTCCTCCTTCTTCATGCCCTCCATGTTTCACTGTGGTGTTGGCATTTTTCTGTTGGTTTAGGCTGGGGACACACTGTCCAACATAGGTGACAGATATTGGCACGTTATTGTAAATCCAGCACAGGTAGTTTGTGGTATTTAATGTCTGTAATATCCCACTGAGGGCAGAGCCCCACACGCTGCCCTGCAGGACAGAGCTGCGGCAGGGCAGCAGAACATGTTAGAGATAAACAGAATAAACAACCTTGAAACCAGCACAGACCAATTATGGCTTCTGCTTTGGCAATGGGGCAGAAAGACAGAGACTTTCTACAATCTCGGAATCATCAATAGCACAGATTCCGACACACTGCCATCAGCAGCAGCTCTGGGGAGCCTCCCCTTTTCCCCCTCCTCCCTGTGCCCCAAGAGGCACCAACCGAGCCCAGCCTCCCCAGCCTGGCCTCTGATGGGGCAGCAGAGAGCTGGGAGGGACACAGAGGGGAGGAGCAGAGGAACCAGGCAGCAAAGAGAATATCTCAGGGAAGCTCAGGTGAGATGCTGAAGGCGGTCCAGGGCCCAGTGCAGAGAAGAGGTCCTTGAGAAAAGGTCAGTGTTGGTGGCACTCAGTTGGATTCACACTGTTGGTGTCTGAGAGTCATGTCAGGTCTACAGGATGTGTCCCTGAAATCACTCAATCCATCAGGGAGCCCAGAGTCAAACTGAACATAAACCAGCTTGAACTTTTATACTTTGAGATGTATTTTTATTCTCAATCCAGAAGTGCTGTTGTTGGACTCAGCAGAAACGGAAGCAGCTGCTACAGGACCCAAAACTCCACTATTTTGAAGCATTGCAGAGGGAGCAGCCCAGAATTAATAAATGCTTTGACACATTTGGCCTGTACACCAGGAACAAAGCTTGTCCATGGTGGGGAGGACCTGCTGCTAACTCGGGAAGCTCATGAAGATGTGAGGCATGGTGGCAAAGAGAAAATGGCCTTGCAGCAGTCATTCCCAGAATCTGGCTTGCTTATTAATCCCAGAGCAAAGGAAAAATTGTCTGAGCTTGATCTGAGGCTATGAGGGGCTTCAGGGGGTAACCAATGACTGGATGAAGCTTTCTTTGGCTTATCAATGATTGTGATTTCTACTGTTTTATGAAAATTAGGTTTTTCCAGGGCTGTAGACTGGGGAAGCTCCAGCTGTGCCAAGCCGCTGTTCTTCTGCAGCAACTCACAGAAGATATCCACACTGGTGACTTTTTACCAGCTGCTAAGGGATTTGTTCCTCAGGGTGCCCAAAGACTCACTCCTACACTTTGCAAGGCTTGGGGAAGCACAGCTCTTGGACAACATCCGTGTAGAGAGGTCTACAGTGTGAATGAGGAATCCAAGGGTTGGGACCAAATCCAGGAGATTGCATCAACCCTCAGGTCCCCAGTGACTGCAGATAGAGCTGGGTTGCTCCATGACTTGTTTCCTCTGCAGAGAACATTGGTTTTTGCTAGTGGCACTTTCAGATGAGCAAGTGGTGTCATACTCACAGAGGCCATGTGGAGAGTCATGGTCTCTCTGCCCTGCCAGACACAGGGTGGGGGACTTTGTGGTGTGCTGTGTGTTAATTTTTTTTTTTTTCCAAAAACCCAGTAGTCATCTGGAGAAACAGGACAAAGCCCTGCTCAAACTGCAGCCTGGAGACCTCGTGGCCCAGAACCCAGAGACTACCCTTCCAGACTGCAAAGAGTGAGCGTGGCCAGCAGCCACCTCAAGACTTCCTGCCCTGTCTTGGTTACCATGTCTTATCACTTCCAAAATATCACAGGCAGCGGTCTGGGTTTGTTTACAAACAGTAGGTTGAGATCAGCATCCATCAGGAAAGAAATCCAACCCAGGCAGCTGGGGACCAGCTCTTAGAAGTTTACATCTCTTAGAGGGGAAGCCTGAGCTGGAGGTGGCCTCTTGCTTCATCTAACCAGCAGCATTGGTGTGGCACCATCCCAGCACAGTCTGCATGCAGCCTCTCCAATTGCAGTTTGAGATGTAATTTTATTCTCAATCCAGAAGTGCTATTGTTGGACTCTCCAGCAGCAGTTTTACAATGAGCAGGTTGAGTATTTTCTCCATTTAAACACATCTTTTAACCAAAAATTACCTATTCAGTTAAAAGTAGCTTCTTGGTCAGTTCTTTTCACAGGTTTTGAAATTCTCCCTGGGTTTTTCTCAGGAGGACAAGAAGAAATTAAAGCGTTTTTGTAATGTTGGGGTTTTTCCTCTTTTTTCCGCTTTTTAAAATTCTCCTTTCCCTTCTCTCAGCGAAAAACTGGAAAATGAATCATGTCCCCATGTGGGAGCTTCAACAAAACGTTCCATTTTTATCCTTCTTCCTTTTCTGTTGTCAGTCCTCCTCTCCCTCCAACTTCCCCGAGCCGGCAGCGTCGCAATCTGTCACGCGGACAGCAAAGCTGCATCTCACCCCACTGTCTGCTGAGAGGGTCAGGAGGGGCAGATCACTTAACACTACACCTGTTTTATGAATAATAATACAGACAGTTTCGCTGGGTTCCTGGGAGGACATTTTCCCACCAGGATAAGCGCTGCATATTGAACAAATTAATGTCTTTAACTCGTTTGACTCTGGTTGCAGTGGGGAGCTCCAGTGGTGCCGCTGCAGCAGGAGAAAGACCAGGCAAGCCTTTGAGGATGGTTTGTTAGAGGGTCTTGATCTTTCCTTTCCTGCAAGTTTCACTTGTGGAAGTGTGAGATTATAAATTTGAGATTCGTGAAGCTGTTTCCAGAGCAAAAATATGGAGGGGAAATGAAAAAAGAACTGGATGTGTGAAGCTTCAGGAAAATTGAAAGCTATCCACGAGCACATCTGCATCACTTTCATATACTCCACCTGGATTTCAGTTCTTTGTCAGTAGCTAGACTAGCTCAGAAAAGAAAAACAATAAACCAAACTAACCAACCAAAAACAGACAACCACCCTCTCACACACTAAAAACGTACTTTAAATATTATTTTACAAATTCAAAGAATTCAAAGAGTCCAAGAGTTTCTTTTTAAGATGGTGGAATGAAATGTTTTGATTCACAGCAACAAGTTCCTCTTGGTCTTTCCTTAGCAGAAACAAGAAGAAGCAATACCTGTCTTCTCTCAGCCAGAGGACTGTGTCCATCAGCACAAGCAGAGATATCCCAAGTGACATTTCTGCCCTGACTTGGACTGCCCAAGGGTGTCAGGAGGGACCCTCAGCCCCATCCCAAGCTGTGACCACAGCAAAAGAGAACACTGCTCTGACAGCTCAAATCAGTGCCTCACTCGTATTATTTTATTTGTTTTGTTGACTTTTATTGAGAATGAAAAAATAATTTAAAGCAATTATCTGTACAGGGGGGCAGGGGGATGTTAGCTGGGTAGAGGATCTGTGACCCCCCCCAGAAAGGGCTTGAGGGGGTGATTTACAGCTGTACAAAACCACGACAACCCCACCGAGGAGGAGCAGAGGGCGAAGGACATCTCTGGAGCTCTCAGGGGCTCAGAGCAGAGGGGCAGGAGGCTGTGCAGGGGCACAGGGGGCCAGGCTCTGGCCAGACAGACCCTCAAGTGACCTGCAGGGGTGTCTCCAGCATCTCCATGAGAAAGGTGTCGATGGGGGTGTCTCCAATCAGCTTGAAGAAGAAGAGGTGCTCCAGGCACTTCAGCCCGATGGACCGCAGCGCCGGCAGGCGCAGGAGGAGTTTGGCAAACCTGGGAAAGACCAGAGTCAGAGTCACAAGGGAGGCACTGGCTGCCTTCTCCCACTTATTTCCAAGCCTGCACCAGCCCAAATTCTCCCAAAAAAATGCTTTGGGGCTGTGGGAATTCAGAGCTTCCCTCTGGCTGCCCTGGCAGGGCTGGGACCCTGGCAGGGGGTCAGGAACCCCCCTGGACAGAGCCCCCAGAGACACTGTCTGTGATCTCTGTCCATGGAAAAGAGTTTTCAATCTTACAGGATGAATTACCAGCTCTGAGTGTTTGATATAAGTAATAATTAAGTGTAGTACGGGTGCAAAAGTAAAATTTTAGGTTTCTAGATTAGGGGTTCAAAAGGGACAAGATGGAGGAAATTGGGTGTGCCTTGTCCTTTTTCTCCTCCTTCATGCCCTCCATGTTTCACTGTGCTGTTGGCATTTTTCTGTTGGTTTAGGCTGGGGACACACTGTCCAACGTAGGTGACAGATATTGGCACATTATTGTAAATCCAGCACAGGTAGTTTCTGGTATTTAATGTTTGTAACATCCCACTGAGGGCAGAGCCCCACACGCTGCCCTGCAGGACAGAGCTGTGGCAGGGCAGCAGAACATGTTAGAGATAAACAGAATAAACAACCTTGAAACCAGCACAGACGAATTATGGCTTCTGCTTTGGCAACGGGGCAGAAAGACAGAGACTTTTTACAATTTCAGAATCATCAATATCACAGATTCCAACATGGGGCATTCTCAGACTTAGATTCCTTTAACCATTCAATATAAGCATTTGTTGCCTCGTTGCCTCGTGTGGTGGGAATATGTACCTTTCCAAAAGAGAATTTGGCATTTTAAAAATTTAAAAGAGAAAAAAAAAAAAAAAGAATAAAAAAAGAAAATACATCCAGATTCTCCCACCAAGATGTGAACATCTTAACACCTTACCTTTCCACAGTACTATTTAAATCTGTCTTCAAAACCCCCCAGGCTCCCAGAGGGTGTGCAGCCCCTCAGCTGGAAGGGGGTGCAGCTGGAAGGGGGTGCAGCTGGAAGGGGGTGCAGCTGGCAGCCTGTTCCCTGTTCCCCCTGCCCAGAGCCCACTCGCAGTGTCTGTGTGACAGCCAGAGCCAAGACCAGCAGAAGATTCCTCAGGCACCAACCCAGCTGCCGGCGCTTCAAGAGCTCGGCCAGCAGAGGGTAGGATTGGATTGGAAAGCAACAAAATTCCATCCCCACGGTACTCTCGAGGCTGGGGATTTGGGCACTGTGGCTCAGGCAGAGCCAGCACAGCCAGGAGCCTCTCTCCAGGGTGGGCATCACGCTGCCTTGCCGGGGGCACTCACCGTCCTGGCTGCTCGGGGTACTTCTGCTTCGTGTAGGCTTCCAGCGTGGCATAGACCTTCTCCCGGAGAGATTCCACTTCTGAGGGGCTGGACAGACCCTTGGCATCTGCTCAAGGGAGGAAATACAGGTGGGGAAAGGATCTCTGCAGAGAGGGTGTTTGCGCTGTGTGCACGGCAGGAGAGGGCTGGGACCAATCTTGGTCTGCTGGGAGCTGTCCCTGCCCATTGCAGCGGGGTTGGAATGATGTGATCCCCGAGGAACCTTCCAACCCAAAGCATGAAATCTGTCTGCAGCCCTGATGCTCGATGTCACAGTGACCTGCTGTGGCCCAGAGGGAGTGCTTGTCACCTGGGACTGTCCCCAGCCTGTGGCTTACCTGGGTTAAACAGGACAATGGCTCGCAGGCACCCCAGCTCCGACTTATCCATCTGCATGTCTTTCATTTTGGACACCAGCTCTGTCAAAACCCTGCATGTGGGGGACATGGGTGAGCAGACAATCAGAGACAAGTTCTCCACTGAAAATAGGCACTGGGAATACCCTCAATTCTTCTCTGCAGGAAGAGAGGCATCTTTGAGGCACAGCCATGCCCCACGCTGCTGTTCTACAAGCACATCAGCAACATCCAGGGACCTGAGCATCAAACTGGCTCCTGTTCTCACTTTGTTCAGCACACAGCACTCACAATTTGCACTCACTCAAGGAAAACCACATGGGTTTTCTCCACTTTTTACTGTGTAGTGCAAAACATGGGCACTGTCCTTACACATGCCAGGTAAGGAGTGGTGAGGCAGTGTCCTGCCAGCCAGGGAGCAGGCAGGGCAGGGACAATATGTGTGCAGTTGTTACACAAGCAAGTTGGGGTTTAAGGCTTTGCCATCTAAAGCTCTTGGTGAGCAATATTAGGCCTAGACACAGCTACAGCAAACTCTCAAGACATAAGCTTTCTTCCCCCTGCACACCCAATCCAACATCTACTTCTGCAGCTGCAAATCCCTCCCCACTGTGCTTTTAGCCCGTTCTTGTTTTTCACATCAGTCAAACATCCCCTGCTCATTCCAAGCTACTTCTGCCCCAAAAGGGTTTGCTCTAGTTCCCTTAAGGACATAGCTCCCATTCAGAGGGGAAGGCAGAACCAGCCTGGCCACCCCTGTTGGGGGATGTGGCAACCTGTCAAAGAGCAGGGATGTGGTACCTGTCAAAGATGGAGCCCACGCCAGCGCTGTGGGCACTGCTGCGGTGCACGTGCAGGCCCGTGGCCAGCAGGATCCCGTCCTGGACTGACACGGAGCGATGGGAGAAAGAGGCAATGAGCAGCTCATTCCAGCCTGCAAGCACAGGAGAGCAGGAAACATCAGGGAGTCCGGCCAAAAATCAGTGCCACATGGAGCAGCAGAGCTGGTTTCTCCCTGCTGGCTTTGGACTAAATTCAGAGGAGAGTTGGCACCCCCTTGCCAACACTGCAAGGGGTGGCCTATCCCTTGGAAATATTTGGGAAATGCTCTAGGCACATGGTGTGATTCTTGGGGTTGTTCTGGGCAGGGCCAGGAGTTGGACTTTGATGATTCTTGCAGCTTCCTTCCAATTCAGGATGTTTTGTGATTCGATGACCCTGACTAGCAGCAAGCAAGGAGCAGGAACTGGCTCAAGGAAAAAAAAAATTACAAAAAAAGAAAGGGGGAAAATATTCTAGGTTTTCTTCCTAAAAAACATATTCCTAGCAACTCAAACCTCTTTACAAACAACAGACTCTACTGCCCCATCCACAGCCTCTGCCAACCTCTCATCTTATCTCAGACTGGGGGATGTAGGAATGGATTGGCTCAGGACTGCACATTCACCATCCAGCCTGGCTGGCTCTCACACAGCCCAGAGAAGGGACAGGGGCATAGGGACAGCCACAGGTGGGGGACACTACCTGCCCGGAGGAGAATGACTTGGTCTTCCAGCGTCAGGTCGGAGAAGTGGGGGATGCGCTTGGCCCACTCGACCAGTGTGAAGAGCTGCTTGTCAGCAGCGTGGCAGATGTTGGTGACTGGGTCATTTGTCTAACAGAGAGGGGTATCAAAAGGAAAAGAGCAGAGAAAAAGAGGAGGATTCATCAGTGAAAGGTCTTTGATAATCACAATCGAGTTAACGGTACCCAACGCCACAAGTACAACACCCAAACTGCCAATAATCTCAGGTGGGTGCTGTTGGGAAGAGCAGGTATTTGGTACCACTGTCCCCTCTGCAACCAGCCAAGTCAGCCTGATGTTCTAACAGAGGCTAGACAAGATTAAGAGAGTAAAAGTGGGTATTTATTAAAGGCCTTCAACAGGCACACCTTGGGCAGCCAGAAGCCTCCCGGAGGCTACACCAAATATGGACGATGCTCACGAGTTTTTCAGACAATTATAAGTTTGGTTCATTTACATATCAAGGGTTAATCCTCCAATTACAGCTTCAGGTAATGAAGTCGGATACCCCCAGTTTGCTCCCCCCCGTTTCACTTTTTGTTGATAAATTTCAGGGCCTGAGGCTGTAGGGTGTCCTTGAGTTTCAGGCCCAGAGGGATTGTTTTGTGTGACCAAAATGTGAAGACAGTAGCTAACACTCTGTATGGAGTTTAGAGTTATACACTAAAGCAGTACAGGATTTGAAAGGTATAAAAGCTAAAATCCTAAGGCATTAAGCTGGTTGCTGACTTTTCTGTCTGCTTGTTGCCCTTTGCATAGCAAGTCCCTTGTGGCCAGCTGCAGTCCTGCTCCCCAGGGCTTATCTAAAAGGCAGGGAGCAGCCCCTGAATAGGCATGAGCACCAGTTTCATCCAGTAAAACCACAGCAGTAATCCTGCTGTGCTCAGCTCCACCCCAGCCTTGGTCACGGGGCAGACAAGAAGTGTTCAGGGCTATAGGCACATGTGAAAGCCAGCACAGGGCTCTCAGACTCTCCAGCATCTCCAATGAGATTCCTCATTGAAACTAAAAGAGACTTGGGGAAAAATGCTTGGAAAATAACATATAAGCTATTTTCTAGCTGTCATTCAGAGTAGCTTCAAAAGAGAAACTGTTGGTGATTTTTTAGGTGGTGTGGAGTAAAGCGCTCTTGTAAAACGCTTGTCGTTCACATGTTGCTTGTCTGCTCAATTCCCAGCTCAAATCTCTGGCTGCAGGTGATGCCAGGGGCTCTTACCGAGCTCTCTGTGCCCACGTCACTGTATGCCTCTGTTTTGGGCTCCACTGCCAGCTCAGCTTCCAGGATCCTCTCCACGGGCATGTCCTCAGTGCCACTGCTCGTGGACTCGGCCTCGTTCTCACTGCGCTCCCTGCTCCTCTGCCTCTCCTCCTGCACAGCTGTGGGACACAAACACAGCTCTCCACAGCCACAGCAACACTCAGCTGCGCACAGGGGGTCCCCACAGGTGGGGTGAGACCCCCTCACGAAGGGGAGAACAGGAAATAAATGGGTATTTCGGATGTGCACCCATTAAAATAGCTGCTCCCACACTAAGAACTCTGAGGTGGCTGCAGACCAGTAGCCTCCAAACTTGACCAAGGATTGTGATTTCCAAAGTATGGAGCTTCAGAAGAGAGGGAAGAGGAGTTGATACCTCCAGGTGGCAGCCTGGACTCGGCTGTCACTGGGTGCTGGAGGAGGCAGGAGGGACCCAGCACTCACAGACAGGTTTTTGTGCTCTCAGCATGCTTCCAGCAGTCCCAGTATGCTTTCAACAATCCCACAGCAGCCAGAGCATCCAGCAGCAGGGCTAGACAGTCCCAAACCCCCAGATGGATTCACACATGCTGCTTGTCTCATTCCTGAGAAAAATCCTACCCAGTCTGGCCCTGGCATCACCTCTCTTCCTGATCCTCCCCACTAGAAAGTTCCTTCTACATCAGTACCCCAACACCTTCACTCCCTTCTCCCCTCTCTGTATGTTTTCCAAAGAAGGCACAGAAGCGTGACATTCTCTCCAAAGCTCAGTTTTTAACTCCCAGGGCTGCTGTGTGTAAGACAGGTCAGTGTAGGACCTGTGCATCTGGTATGTCAACCCTTGTGTGCAACAGAAGTCCTGGCTACGCTTTTTTCTTTTAAGAAATCCCAAAAGGAAATACAACAGTCCTTCTTAAGAAGTGACCAGCAGGTATTATATTTGTTTGGTTCACTGATGGGGACAAATGGCAGCACCCAAGGAGATGGATCAGTGGGGCATCCAGCCTGGTGCTTGTGAGGGAGGGCAACACAGGACACAAGTATATGCCAGCCTGCTGGGGGGAACACTTGTCCTCTTTAGAGCAGTGGACAGGAAAAGCCGTGCAAGTGTTTCTGAAGCCACCAAAATCTTACTGGAAGAAATAACATGGCAAGGAAATGCCAGTCCCATCACTCAGCCCCTGGACTCAAGCTGCACTCTGTCCTCAGTTTCTGCAGCTCCCAAAAAGCCCCTGTGATTGCTGCAGCCAAACTCCCACAGGATCCACCAGGATCCTGGGGTTTAAATTTTCACTCTCTGCAGAAGGAAGTTGTGCTAACACCCTGGTCCTCTGAACCACTTTGCACCTGGCTGGAAGAGGGAGCTGGGCCTCGGATTAAGTTTTTTATTCCAGCCTGGCATTGTGCAGTCCCCAGCTGCCCTGTGAGCTTGAGGCAGCACAGCTTTGGTGATGCTGCAGGACGAGGATCAGCTCATGCTCAATTTTACAGCTCCTTCCCCAGGCAGCTCCATTACTTTATCTTAGAAAAAATGAGTTTAAATACTGTGTTGGTTGTCACATCCTGACCTTGCATAATTTGGGAGACAATGCAGCTCAGCAGGTGAGGCTAAGAGTGGAAATGACAGAGAACTATAAAATGAGAGATAGAAATAAATCATTCACTCTTATCCTCCAGTACAAGAATTAGGTGGTGACAAATGAAGTCAGCAAATCAAAAACAAAAAAAGGAAGCTGCTCTTCACAAAGGAGACAAGAAGTCTGCAGGACCCCTCACTGCTGGGTGCTGTCCCCAGCAGAAGTTTACAGGTTTCCAAGGGTTCCAAGCCATTAAGAGTCACTAACTAGAGGCAAGGTTGGGTCAAAAACAGTCAAAAGCTTCAATACTCACCAGCATGTGCGATTAGGTGAGAAGAAAAATACACTGTGACAGCTGCCCCATCAGTCTCTTCCCTTATTAGCCCTTATTAGGAAAAAGTTCTTCACAGAAGGGGCTGTCCAACATGGGAACAGGCTGCTCAGGGGGGTGGCTGAGTCAACATCCCATAGGTATTTAAATGACAGGTAGATGTGGCACTTAGGGACAGGGTTTAGTGGTGGAATCTGCATTGCTGGGCCAATGGTTCCACTTGATCCTAAAATTCTTTTCCAACCTAAACCTCGATTCTCATTTCCTTTACGTAATGAGGTGCAAAACCCCCCCGACGCCCTCGGTGTGGGTTTTTGGAATGCACCAGCCTTGGAGGATCACCAAGAGCCCGATTTATCCTAATGAACAATGGGAAATTTCTCCAATCCCATTGCTTCCAGCATCCCCAGTCCTACCTTCCCTCTTCATCCCCATGGCGAGGCACTTCTGATAGCGGCAGTACTGGCAGCGGTTGCGCTGGCGCTTGTCGATCAGGCAATCCTTGTTATCCCGGCAGGTGTAGATCAGATCCTTCCTGATCGTCCTCTTGAAGAAGCCTTTGCAGCCCTCACAGCTGTACACCCCATAGTGCTTCCCTGGGGAGGCAAGGGAATCCCTGGGCAGGCAGGTATTTGCCTTTCCTTCTAGCATGGAGGAGCTCAAACCAAATCATCCAAAGGTGAAAAACTGCAGGTATCACCTTGGCAGGCCTGGAGTGGCTTCAGTGAGTCCTGGCAGCAACAGTGACCAGCAGCAGTCAAACCATGGGACCACTGCATGCCAGTGGAGGAATGTGGATCATCTCAGCTGCAGAAGGGCCCCAGGCAGCAAATGGGGTGCACTGATATGGAGGGGGTTTGCAAGGCTCACTGGGGTACGAGAGAAAACCCAGACACAGCCAGAGCCCAGCTAACACAAAGCACAGGGAAATGGGAACACAGGGATTTTGGCAGATTTACCTTTGGTAAACAGGGACAGAAGGTAAAATGAGGTTATACACACGGGGGAGAAGAGCACAGCGTTTAGGTTTGCTCACTTTTGGGCACTAATGTGCAATACAGACAGCCAGACCCAGCCATGATCTTGCCATGCCAGTACGACCACAGCAAGCCTCCACGCCCTTCAGTGCTGCACAAGAGCACCAGGAGAGCTCTCACTGCACAAAGCCTTCCTCAAGAAAGAAAACCTCCTACCTGAGGACCTGTCCCCACAGATGGCACAGATGTGTTTGGCTAGGGATCCTGGACTCGTGGATGGATAATTCATGTTCCCCATCCCCGGGAGACCCGGCAAGGGCTTGACATCCTCCGAGCTGCTGACATTGTTCAGGACATTGAGCTGCAGAAGCCACAAGACAGGTTAGAGGAGAGAGACTCACATCAGTGAAACCATCCCCAAATGGAGCTGACCCTTCCCTCCTGCCTGGCTTGTCCCACAAGCTTATCCCCATGAGCAGACAGACATCCTCTGCTGAATCCAGCAGGCACTAAAGCAGATGTTGCCTGATGTTGTAACCAAAGCAGAGCTGGAAAAGGGCAGGCAGTAACCTCAGCTGCTCAGTTACAGCCTCCAAGCCGTGAGGCTTGTGGGATCCTGGCTGCTTCATTAGAGAATGCTGACTGCTGGCAGCTGCAAGCACTAACAGCTTAGTAAAGCAGAGCTTTGCAGACAGGTGATCTGTTACAATCAAACCTGCACTGCTGCATGGCTAGGGGAGCTGTAATGGTGTTTATAAAAAAAAAAAGGAAAAAATAAATAAAAATTAGTGGGTTAGCTTCCTGACTCATAATATCTGCATATGCACATGAACACATGGCCATTTGGTGACTCTCTGGGACTTAGGTTCCCAAACAATATCATAGGTGGCAGATTTGGGGTTACCAGATTATTTTAAAAATAAATAAATAAAAGGATCAGGCTGAGCATCTAAAAATCAGCAGTTGTGAGATGCAGGAAAACGACACAGAGCCCCCAGCTGAGATCCCCAGGAGCTGCTCCTGGCTGCTGAAGTTAAAGGTTACAAACCCACACTGATTAGAGACCAAAGCCTGACATTGCCCAGGGCTTTATTTTATTGCTGTTTGCTTTGGAGCCACGTCGGGCAGGGCAGGGAGGGCTAAGGGCCATTGAGCACATCTTGTCAAAAGCTGTCTGGGCACAACAATCCCTCTCCAAGCCCACCATCCACCATCAGATCACCTTCCCCACTGTCGTGGGTTGAGGGCTGGGGATGGTTGTTCCATCCCTGGGTTTGTTTGGAATAGTTGTGCCAATTTATCAGCTCAAAGAAGGCAGAAGCAGGGATAAACAGGTTTGGATGAAGACGCAGCTCGAGCCTTCATTCCAGTCTCTGCAACATTTAAAACAGTGGATTTTATGCATGTTGCTGGAAGTTCTCCATTTGCTTCAAGAAACTGCACATTTCCCACAAAATAGAGGTCATTTCCACAGTAAATTTCAGTAAAGAACAAGGGCTCATCCCATTAGAATTTTCGGATGAGTCATTAGAAAAATAAAAAGGTGAAGCCTATTCTCATCTTCCCTCACTGCTATCCCATCATTTTCAAAGCTTCAAAGGTTTTAGTAACACGGAAAACAAAAATTATCCAGCAAAAATCAGGAGCCAAGTTGTTTTGCTCCACTAGGCCATATAAGTGTATTGGGAAAAATTGCCTAGAGGAACAAAGGTTTGATCTCTCCAGCAGAGGCTCAAACCAGGCACTGGCAACTGTAATTCCTTATGCTTCAAAATCCAGGCCAAGGAAAGGAGAAGTAAACCCCTTCCTCCCCACAAGTGTCCATCAGCAAAATGCTGAGCCGGGAGGAACTTTTTATGGTTTAAAATGTTGCTCAGAACTTGGGTACCACCTTTTCTTCCTCCCTGCCAGCACTTTGAAACAATAAAAGGGAGAGAGGGTCCATGGGAGGGGGACACACAAGGCAGTTTTAGCCATCAGTGTCCTTAGAGCTTGACTCTTGCAGGTTAAGTGCAATCATGTATGGTATCTGGGACAACTGCTTGAACCCAAATCCATTAGCTGCCTCCTTGCTGAATCCCCAGGGCCCAGCTGTCTCCTTGCATTAGAGGCAACACAAATGGAACCTTCTCCTCAGATCTGGGAACTTGGCACGGAGCCCAGGCAGGGGAAACCACTTCCCAGAGCATCCCCAGTCCCAAAGGAAAGGCTTCCAACCAGCCAGTGCTGCCACAATTTCCTGTCCAGCCATCCTGTCCTTGACGTCACGGGCACAAATACCATCAGATCCATGGGGAACAGCTGGGTGGTGCCAGGGGAAGAGGGATCCTCCAGCATTCCCACTGCTGAAAACTGGGGCCCACACTGGAGTTGAGGATGCTGGGAAAAGGTAAGCCAAATCCCATTCTCTTTTCAGAGCCCTTCAGCTCATGCCATCCTCTCCCAGCCTTCCAGGCACAAAGAAGAGCTTCAGGCATTCCAAGGAGTAGCAGCAGGGTATGGGGTAGAAAGGGCTTGGGGACCATCTCCTTGCTTTTTCCTCAGCAGGAGCCATGGGGCTTCTGAGCACTTCCCACCTTCAGGTGCCACTAATAAAACACAAAACCTTGCTCATAAGAGGCAGAATTTTCCCTTAGATCTGGATGCCCAGAACATTTCAGCTCTCTGTCGAGATGCCACACTGCCACCAGAAATGCAGGAGGCGGTGCCAGGCTTTTGGAGCAGCATGTCTCCATCCCACAGAGCCACCCTGAGAGGCTCCCAGCCCATCCATGGCTCTGGGGAGGCACCAGCCCTAACACCTGGGTCTCCCCAAACCTCAGCACCCACGTGAGCACAGGCAGTAAGGATGGGAGTGCTTCATTTTGCTTCAGGCCAAGTTGATATGCAACACAGTAGGTGGCTGGCATTTAGCATTAACATTTGTCTCTGCCTAGAAAGTCTGTCTCCTTTCCAGACAACCAAACAAAGCAGATATGCTTTTGCAGGAGGAAGGGCAATGTTTCACGTGCTGCAGCCCTTGGCTATCCTGTCTGTTCCCATGTACAGTAATTATACACTACAACAGATGCAGCAGAGGGGAGCTGGACTGCACCCACGGTGAGAACAAAGCTGGAAATTAGCTCTCTTCCCTCATCCTGTAGGGTATTTTAAAACTGGTGTGGTTCCTGTGTCTGTGCAAGGGTGATTAATGCAGATTCATGGGGAGCTCAGCTGGAAAGAACAAGTGGCCAAACTCCCCACCAGCCAATCCTCTCCCTCAACTTTTGGGACTTTACCCATCCTGAAGACCAAACTGGAAGGAAGAAAACATCTCATCCCCACCTGTGGGCTGGCGTGTGCCACGAAATTCATGCCGGGGGCCGAGGACAGAGCGACGGGGTGGGAGCCCAGCGAGGAGGCGATGACCCTGTAGGGCGAGCCCAGGGCGCTCACCGGGGAGCCGACGGCACCCATGGGCGACGGCAGCGCCCTCGCAGCGGTCCCGGGGGGCTCCAGGTAGCTGGGGGGCCCCTCCACCACCGGGCTCCCCGTGGGAAGGCCCGAGGACAGGCCCACAGACGTGGAGCTGGCGTGCACCGGGGAATCTGCGGGGAGAAGCGGAGAGATGAAGCACGCCCAGTGTAACAGCTACCAGCTGGCCAGCCGTGCTTGTGTCAATGCCAGCCCAGCCTCAAAACCAACCAGCAAAGCATGCTGTGAAGGGAAAAGAGCAAAATTGTTGGTTATAGTACAGGAAAATGGGTTATATACTGTTGGAACCCTGGCTGCTGAGAATTTTAGACTTTCTGTGCTGACCCCCAAGAGAACACTACATTTAACCTGACACCATAGAGAAGGCTTCCAAAATTAAATTATAAAAGATTATAAGTGTGTAGTTTGAATAGAAAAGTGTAATATCACATAGTAGAAAACTTAAAGTTTTAGACTATAGTAATATATATATAACAAGATAGAAATTTTAATGTGAAAACTAGTCCTTCTCCTTCACCTTCTTCCTAACGAGTTTGACCAGTATTATATAATTAAATAAAAAATCCAGCATTGAGAGTCACAGGTAATTAGTTATTGAGTTAAAAGTAAAAATAATTTAAGTGTCATTTCTTAATTAGACAGCTTATCCTTAAAAGGCCTTGTAGAGAAAGAAATACAACTCCATGTTTAGCTTGTTAGAGTGAAGTACTGTAAAACTCACACTTTGTGAGACTGTAATATAGATAAGAACTAGTAAACATCTAAGTCCAAACAAGAAATACCGTCCCACACATTTGATCCCAACCTTAGCAGAAGAAAGAAACTAAAGAATCCACAATATACAGCAACAAAACTAATTGTGGAGATAATGCTTAATAACAAAATATTCCCTCTCCACTTTGGTGCCTGAGCAGACTTGGAGGAAGGCACCACTGCCTGCCTGCCTCAAGCTGGTTTTCAGTTTTCTCTGAACACTTCCCTGAGGTCCCATTTCTTTTGTCCAAGGCAGCTCTAGGGACAGCACGCTTCTAAACCCCAAAATCCTCACCAGCCAGCCTGGAAACTCTGGATGTTCCACATGTCTCTGCTCCTTGAGGTGCCTCTGGCCTTATGCTCCCATGGCTTAGTTTTCCCCCTTCCCACCTGTGGGAATCCAGAGCTTCCCTCTGGCTGCCCTGGCAGGTCTGGGACCCTGGCAGGGGTCAGGAACCCCCCTGGACAGAGCGCCCAGAGACACTGTCTGTGATCTCTGTCCAGGGAAAAGAGTTTTCAGTCTTACAGGATGAATTACAAGCTCTGAGTGTTTGATATAAGTAATAATTAAGTGTGGCATTGGTGCAAAAGTAAAATTTTAGGATTCTAGATATGGGGTGCAAAGGGGACAAGATGGAGGAAATTGGGTGTGTCTTGTCCTTTTTCTCCTTCTTCATGCCCTCCATGTTTCACTGCAGTGTTGGCATTTTTCTGTTGGTTCAGGCTGGGGACACACTGTTCAACGTAGGTGACAGATATTGGCACGTTATTGTAAATCCAGCACAGGTAGTTTCTGGTATTTAATGTTTGTACCATCCCACTGAGGGCAGAGCCCCACACGCTGCCCTGCAGGACAGAGCTGCGGCAGGGCAGCAGAACATGTTAGAGATAAACAGAATAAACAACCTTGAAACCAGCACAGACCAATTATGGCTTCTGCTTTGGCAGCGGGGCTGAAAGACAGAGACTTTCTACAATCTCGGAATCATCAATACCCACAGATTCCGACACCACCCACGTGTGCCTCCCCTGTGCCTTTTCACATGTTCCCTCCCAAAGCTTCTTCCAGGAAGGTGCCAGCATCTTCCACAGGAGCTGGAGCAACCCAGGAATAGCTCATGACACACTAGCAATGCAAGTTTCAGGACAAGGCAGCCACAAAACAATTGGTCCTTTATTTTTCGTCATTTGTACAAAGGAGAGCAGAGACTTTGGCCACACAGATGTGCCAGGGCACTCTCAGAGCTACGAGGACAGGGGGTTTCCTCCCTCCACACTGAAGAGCTGCAGTGCACTTCACCAAGCTGAGCCTCACAGCAGCCCCACCAGATCACTCTGAACATCTGAGCCCTGCTGAGGAAGAGGTGGTGTAGAAAAACAATATAACCCTGATCATTGCCACTTCAGGGCAGACTCTGAGGCTGAACAGCTCAAGCAAGGCCTAAATACTGTCTGTCTTCTGTAAGACCAGTCTCAAATATTCAGAGGGTATCTAGGCATCAAATGCCCACTAGTCCCAATGGGATATGCATCTAGGTGCATTTTAAGGATTTCCATGACCTTTTCTCCCTTCCTTAGAATTTACCAGCCCTGGTTAGCATTAGCTGTCATTAACATTTCTGTGAACCATTATTTCTCTGTTGGTTTTTCAACACTGGAGATCATTCCCTGGAGTAGCAAGGCAAAGATCTTGTGTGGGAAGGTCACACAGTTGGTTTTTCATGGCTGACACAGAGGATACATTCTCCCATTGCATTTGCAAGTAAGGCAGCGCTTTGGTGTTTTGTTTGTTTGTGTTTTTTCCTCCTTTTAACATTATTGCAAAGTTATTTACGTGACAGTGTTTGTTATTCTACCTGAAGTAACAATCAAATCTGATTCAAAGGGAAGATGCACAATAAAGACGGGAAAAGGTCAGCTTGCTGAATAACATTAAAGACATTTGTCAGAGTCAAGGAGGACTCGATCCGCCGTTATCAACCCACTTCAGACTTAATTCTGCTGAGGGAGGGGGAGAAAAGGTCTTTGTCAATTCTTGCTTTGGCTTTTTGGATCAATTCTCCCGGTGGGAAAGCGATGTGCAGCAAGAGGAAGCCGGCTCAATGACAACAGCAGAAGCCTCAGAGGCAGCGAGGCGGTCTGGAGGCAGGAACAGGGCTCTGCCTGCTGCACAGAGTCACCCCACATCCCCCTGCCACCATCAGGGAGACACACAGCCTGTTTTCTGCTGGCAGACAGCAAAATCCCTGCCTTGGAATGGATTCCAAGTGCTCCAGTCCTTCGTCCCAGAGTGCCTTTAGCACTGGGCAGAAGCTGTGCTGTTTGCCTGGACCTCCCTTACCTCAGCAAGCACTCAGCTCACACAGGCACCTCAGATGTTTCTTGGGGCTTAAAAGGACCATCCTGACCCGGGCTATTATCAGCTTCAGAGAAAAGCAAATGCATTTTTCATCACCTGTGGTGCCGTAACACACAGTCCTCCCCAGCATCTGTAGCACAGACCTAGAAAGAATTTGCTTTTACGCCTCTTTAAATAAATAGGTAAACAACATTGCCTTTGAGGATTCCTCAGCTTGGAAAATAAGTCATTGCAGGGGATACTGGGCAGAGATCTATCACACCAGGACAGCTGAGCAGAAGAATGGTTCTCCATCCTTTTCCATTAACACAGAAAAGGGCATATTTTGAAAGTATCATGCAGAAGATTTAAACCAATAAGAAAAGCCACCCAGGAGAGTTAACTCTGCTTTTATGCCAGACCTTTCAGAAATGCTGTCACTGCTAAGTTTCTCCATTAGAGAAGCTCCAAGTTTCACAAGGACCCAGAGCAAGGCTTTCTCACCAGGAGGCTGCTGGTCAGTGCAAACCCCATGTGGGCTCCTGCCCCTGCCAAGGGGTAAATATTTCAGGGCTGTGCCCAGGGGGATCCCCTAGACCCCAGGATGGGACCAAAGGTCAAAGGCAGGAAACCTGGAGGGTTTGTACCTCTGTTATCCCAGCAATGAGATATCAAAGAGGAAGTGTGAATGCACAAAGGAGTGCTGGTGGAGATGGATGGATAAATGAAAATACCTACTGAGAGCACAGAGGTGTAAAGCCAGGCTTTGCCAGGGCCTGATGACACAAACCTGAGTTAACATGCATGTTTCAAAACTGCCTGGCTACACTGTCCTGCCAAGGCTCTGACAAACCCCTTGCTCAAATCCAGCAGCGTTAACTTGCCACTTACCAAACGACAACTTTATCCATCTGTTACAAATTGGAATAAAGCCCCCATTTAGAAAAGCACAACAATGACGACAAAAAGACCACAAACAACAAAAAATTTTGACTTCCAGTCCCTTTCTGGGGTAAGTCTGCTAAGTCATCCACCAGGGGAGCAGAAATGCATTCTCCTGCACCTGGGGAAAATCCTCCTCTCAGCTTCTAATTTTCAGGCTAGAGTGCTCAGAGAGGGATATGAGAAATGACTGTTAGCAGACTATCAGCTTGTGAGAGGAACAATTTTCATGGCTGAAAGGTGTTCAGGAAGAGCCAAGCCAAAGCATCCTTGACCCTGGGGTTAATTATTCGCTCAGCTGAATATGCTCAAACTTGTTTCAGCTCAAAGCCAGGGAGGTTTGGACTGTGCAAACAGCCAAGTTTTGAAAGAAAAATAATTAAATTAAACGACTTGCAAGAAAATACTGATGGTCTGTGTCCCATATCTCCCAGCAGAACCCAGAAACATCTTGTGTTCACTGGGATGGAACGGCTTTACTCCGGGTGTTTTCTCTCATCATTTGGGAGACAGACAAATGGCAGTGGAACAGGGCTGGAGAGGAGCTGCTCTGCAGCGGGGAAGCAGCTGTGGGATGGAGCAGGGTGGGCTGGGGAGACAGCACCCAGTCCTGCACGGGGCACAGGTGACATTTAGCCAGGCCTGCAGCGTGTCCATCAGGTAATGCAAGGTGACAGCAGGGATGGGGACGCCCGAGCACAGGGCACCAAGCACGCTGGCCGTGTCCCCACGCCAGCTGGGACCTGCACCGAGCACCAGGGCTCGCTGCTGCTCTTCACCACCCACTCTACATTCATCCTTGGCTTATTTCTGATCCACAGGTGGGGCTGCTTGGCCTTCTTCCCTGTTTCCCTTCTCCACATTATTGCCTGGACAGATAATATCCTGCCCGAATTCAGGGAAGCTTGATTTTGTATCTATTTCTCTCCTGCAGGAGCAGGGGAAGGGAAAACAGGAGGATTGTGTGGATTTGGCAGTATCTCTGCTGCAAACATGCACTGCCCAGAGAACCCAGTGACTCCATCAACTCTCCACGAGCTGCCAGAAGCAGAAACACACACTCCAGCCTTCTCTTGGAAA